AGTTAGGGCCAAAATGTTGGCTTTCCTTGTAGCCCTCCTTTTTCTCTAATTTTGGTCTGCAAACTTAGGTTGTTAACCATCCAGAAGACAAGCTGAGGGGCTGGGTAGATAGCTCAGGAGAATAAGTGCTTGCTTGGCAAGCGCGAAGACCTGAGTTCAATCCCCAGTTCTGCGAAAAAAAAACCAAACCAAAAGACAAGCTTATGGTTATTATCAAATGATTTAGGCTATTAAGCTTAACCTCACTATCATACTGCATTTGAAACATCTTCAGCATAATAAGGAACAAGTATTTTTCATCAAGTATTAATATGTTGAACTTTAAGTCCCTAGTTAATATGATAAAAAAAACATTTAAAAATTAGATTAGATTTTAAAAATAGGATAAAGAATTCTATACTTCTCATGTTTGTGCATAAGTCCAAAAATCTCACCATATACAACCTGGAATCAGGACAGTCCCACAATATTCATTTTCCTGTCTCTTGTTTTCATTTACCACCCCCTTCTTCTTGAACATCCCCTTACACAAGAGACATCATAGCAGTAACTGGCATGTCATGACAAGCTGTCCATATTCAGACTACCAGAATGACAGTCACTCCAAATATGAAACTACTGTTACAAATTACCATCTTCAGTGCAGTAGCTTAGTTCACAGGTATCAGTACATATAGTTAGTCAGGGTGAGAATCTTTCCAATTAACTGATAGATTAAAAAATCTTCTGAATATTCTCAGGATCATTGCACTGCTCATCTTTTACATATAACTGTATGGCTTGACATTGTCATGTTTCCTACCTCTTCTCCTTTCCCTGTCTTGATTAGTTAGTCCTTGAGATCCTGCTTTCCTTTAACTTCTATTGTATCTTTCTATTTCTATTTCTTCTTTGGAGTTCTTATACTAGGGAGACTATACGATATTTACACATGTGTGTCTGGTTTGTTTCACTTATCAGTATATGTTCAAGTGGCATCCACTTCAGTATAAAGGCTTGCACTTTATCATTCTTAATAGCTGAATAATACTCTATTGTGTAAAAATACCACATCTTTCTCAACCATTCCTCAGGTGATGGGCATCTTGGTTGTTTCCAAGATTTGGCTATCACAAATTGTGCTGCTATAAACATAGGCACACATATATCCCTATGATATGATGTTTTCAGATCCTCTGGGAAAATTCCCAGTAGAGGAATAGCTGGTTTAAAGTGGATTTCCAGACCAACTTTTCTAAGGAGTCTCCATACTGATTTCCATAACGGTTGCACCAGTATACACTCCGACCAGCAGTGGAGAAGGTGAACCAGCTTTTTGATATGAATTCTTTGTATCACTTTCTTTGTCTTAATTGCATTGATTTTTGTCTAATCTTTACAATTTCTCTCACACTTGGACTTTGGGTTTAATTTTCTCTTCTTATTCTAGAAGTTTGAAGTTCAGCCTGAGGGTATTTATTTCTTTTCTCTCTGTTTTCTCAATATGTGAGTTCAATGCTTTTAGCTTCCCTCTGAGAACTGCTTTCACTGAATCCCACAAATTCCAGTACTTTGTGCTGGAATTTTCATTGCATTCTAAACATTGCTTTAATTCCTATTTAATTTCATCTGTAACCCATTGGTTGCTGGGGAGAGTGTTATTTAATTTCCACATGTTTATGTTGTTTTGTGGTTACTTTTGGCACTAATTTCCAGGTCCATTGCACTGCAGTCAGGCAACATGTGTGGGATACGTTCTCCTTCCTTGCATATACTTAAGCATGTTCTATGGGATAGTATGTGGTCTATTTTAGAAAATGCTACAAGCACAGCTCTAAAGAATGTGTATTCAGCTGTTACAGGATGGAAAACTTTGCAAGTGTCCATTAAGTTCATTTGTTCAAAGATTTGGTTCAATTCTGCTGCCTCTTTGTTAATCTTTTGTCTGCTTCACCTATTTATTTGAGAAGAGAGTGTGCTAAAACACTGTTAAGATTGTGACATTGGTCATTAGATTTTTCAGCTTCCTTGCTGCTGTCCGCTGCTTCCTTGCTGCTGTCCGCTTGGGAGCTCTGGTTTATCAACTCTGCAGTTCTCCAACAAAGAAATATTAAAGAAGACTGACTAATTCTTGGGGTTCTAAAACCATGGCTGATGGTTCAGTGACATTCAGAGATGTGGCTATAGACTTCTCACAGGAAGAATGGGAATTCCTGGACTCTGCTCAGAGGGACTTATATAGGGATGTAATGTGGGAGAACTATAGCAACTTCATCTCACTAGGAGCTTCTATTTCTAAACCAGATATGATTACCTTATTGGATGAAGAAGGGAAGGAACCTGGGATGATTGTGAAGGAAGGGATAAGAAACTTATACCCTGGCATTGCCTTTAGGTGCGGGACCAATACCTTATCTCCAGAAAAGGACATTTATGAAATATGTTCACTACAGTGGGAGATAATGGAAAGAATAAAGAGCTATAACTTTCAGGGTTCCATTTTTAGAAATGACTGTGAATGCAAAAGCAAAATTGAGGGCCAAAAAGAACCACAAGGAGGGTATTTTGGGCAGGCAAAAATTGGCTCTGAAAAAATGACCACTTATAAAAAGCAAAATTTTTTTACGGATTATCAGAGAATTAACAATGGAGAAAAGTTGTATGAATGTAAGGAATGTAGGAAGACTTTTATTCGTCGCTCAACACTTAGTCAACATCTAAGAATTCATACTGGTGAGAAACTTTATAAATGTAAAGAATGTGGGCAGGCCTTTAGGCAGCGTGCACACCTTATTCGACATCACAAACTTCATACTGGTGAGAAACCCTATGAATGTAAGGACTGTGGCAAGGCTTTTACAGTGCTCCAAGAACTTACTCAACATCAGAGGCTTCATACTGGTGAAAAGCCTTATGAATGCAAGGAATGTGGAAAGGCCTTTAGAGTTCATCAGCAGTTGGCTCGGCATCAGAGAATTCATACTGGTGAGAAGCCCTATGAGTGTAAGGACTGTGGGAAGACCTTTCGACAGTGTACACATCTTACAAGACACCAGAGACTTCATACTTCTGAAAAGCTGTATGAATGTAAGGAATGTGGGAAGGCCTTTGTATGTGGCCCAGACCTTAGAGTACATCAGAAAATTCATTTTGGTGAGAAACCCTATGCATGTAAGGAATGTGGAAAGGCCTTTAGGATATGCCAACAGCTTACTTTAGGATATGTCCATCAGAGTATTCATACTGGTGAAAAACCCTTTGAATGTAAGGAATGTGGGAAGACTTTCAGATTAAGACAACAACTTGTTCGCCATCAGAGAATTCATACTCGTGAGAAACCCTATGAATGCATGGAATGCTGGAAGACCTTTAGTAGTTACTCACAACTGATTTCACATCAGAGCATTCATATTGGTGAAAGACCATATGAATGTGAAGAATGTGGGAAGGCCTTCAGACTGCTCTCACAGCTTACTCAACATCAGAGTATTCACACTGGGGAGAAACCTTATGAATGTAAAGAATGTAGAAAACCTTTCAGATTGCTCTCACAACTTACTCAGCATCAGAGTATTCATACTGGAGAGAAACCTTATGAATGTAAGGAATGTGGGAAGGCTTTTAGACTTTATTCATTCCTTACTCAACACCAGAGAATTCATACTGGTGAGAAACCCTACAAGTGTAAGGAATGTAAGAAGGCCTTTAGACAGCATTCACACCTTACTCAACATCAGAAGATTCATAATGGAATTTAATAGAAAAATGTCTTCAAATATACGTTGTGTTACAAAGCACCATCAAATCCAGTTTTGAGAACATTTGTTTCATGCTTACAAGTAAAGATAACACATTTTATATTGAAGAAAGAATATGTTGCTTTAAAAGCCTTCCTTTATCATTCAAGTATTATCTTCATCAAATTCCTGTGAGAGAATAATGTCACGAATGTTGGAAAAAGTTTAACTTTACCTGTCAGTTTCCTCTTACTATTTTATTACTATTGTGGTATTAGAAAAGATACTATCATTTTGTGCCTCATTTTGCTCACTTGTAAAATAGTGATACTAATACAGTAGTTGTATGTATTATTTATTGCTCTGTAATAAATCATCAAAAAGTAGTTTAAAAATGCATATTTTTTATCTCATAATTTCTTTGTATCTGGAAAACATGCATGACTTAGTTGGGCTTCATAGTCACAAGGTTAGCTGTGACTGTGGTCATTTGAAGGGTTGACTAGGGAAGGATTTGTATCCAAGCTAACAGGATGGATGCCTGAATCCTTTCCTTCTGGGGTGTTACACTGTGATCCTCAATCTCTCACGGGCTCCTGACTGAAGGTTGACTGAATTTCCTTTCCACAGTGACCTCTTCAACATGACCTCTTGTTTCATCAAAGTGTGCAAA